AATGAATAAGAATTTGAATACCTGAATCACCCAATCAGGGAGCATTTTAAAATTCACTTTGAAACAACTTAATTGGTTAACTTAAAATGACTTAATTCCATGATGTTGAAGTTACATGAATAAATTATGTTTGTGTAACTTAATTGGTTCATGTGGGACCGATGTACACTATCAAATCATGTAAATCCAACACACTTTTTTTTTCAGTGTAGATAAGATCTGTATTGCACTGTATGTGTGCTCTCATGTACCATTAGGAGTGTCTGATAGGTGTAAACAGTGAGAGATCGTGTGGCGGGTATGGCTGGAGCGACGCTTAAAAGAGCCACGCGAGCACACTACGATACGCATAAAAAGAGCGAATAAAATATAAGATCAGATGATAAATAGGTAGATAATATCTGTATTGCACTGTATGTGTGCTCTCATGTACCAGTGTCTGATAGGTGTAAACAGTGAGAGATCGTGTGGCGGGTATGGCTGGAGCGACGCTTAAAAGAGCCACGCGAGCGCACTACGATACGCATAAAAAGAGCGAATAAAATATAAGATCAGATGATAAATAGGTAGATAATATCTGTATTGCACTGTATGTGTGCTCTCATGTGCCATTAGGAGTGTCTGATAGGTGTAAACAGTGAGAGATCGTGTGGCGGGTATGGCTGGAGCGACGCTTAAAAGAGCCTTGCGAGCGCACTCCCATACGCATAAAAAGAGCGAATAAAATATAAGATCAGACGATAAATAGGTAGATAAGATCTGTATTGCACTGTATGTGTGCTCTCATGTACCATTAGGAGTGTCTGATAGGTGTAAACAGTGAGAGATCGTGTGGCGGGTATGGCTGGAGCGACGCTTAAAAGAGCCACGCGAGCGCACTACGATACGCATAAAAAGAGCGAATAAAATATAAGATCAGATGATAAATAGGTAGATAATATCTCTATTGCACTGTATGTGTGCTCTCATGTACCATTAGGAGTGTCTGTTAGGTGTAAACAGTGAGAGATCGTGTGGCGGGTATGGCTGGAGCGACGCTTTAAAGAGCCACGCGAGCACACTACGATACGCATAAAAAGAGCGCATAAGATCAGATGATAAATAGGTAGATAATATCTGTATTGCACTGTATGTGTGCTCTCATGTACCATTAGGAGTGTCTGATAGGTGTAAACAGTGAGAGATCGTGTGGCGGGTATGGCTGGAGCGACGCTTAGAGCCACGCGAGCACACTACGATACGCATAAAAAGAGCGAATAAAATTTAAGATCAGATGATAAATAGGTAGATAAGATCTGTATTGCACTGTATGTGTGCTCTCATGTACCATTAGGAGTGTCTGATAGGTGTAAACAGTGAGAGATCGTGTGGCGGGTATGGCTGGAGCGACGCTTAATAGAGCCACGCGAGCGCACTACGATACGCATAAAAAGAGCGAATAAAATATAAGATCAGATGATAAATAGGTAGATAAGATCTGTTTTACACTGTATGCATGTTCTCGTGTGAGTGTCTGATAGGTGTATACAGAGAGAGATCGTTTGGCTGGTGTGACGCTTTAGTAGTCCAGGCGGGAGCCAAGAGACGCGCTCTCTATGGGCAAAAAGAGCGAATAAAAAAGAGAAACAATTAGACATAAATAAGATAAGTATTGCACTGCCTGTGGGTTCGTCTGGTATATTAAAACAGTGAGAGATTTTAAGGCAGGCGCATAAGTCTATGTCACGAGATTGGTGCTCATTTAAAAAAAAGCGAGTAGCTTACAGTAGTTGTAAGGCAGGCGAAAAGCGTTTGGTTAATGGTGAATATTGACCTATAGTGCGTACCGTTCTGTCTCCCGCTGGATTCAGGGGTTATGCGCTGCATTTGGTTTGAAAACCTATCTTACATATTGTGTAAGTTCGAGTGGCCGGCGCATATATCTGTGACTGGTCGAGTGGCAGGCGCATATATCCGTGGCCGGTCGGGTGGCAGGCGCATATAACGCAGTGGCAGGCGCATAATTCCGTGGCCGGTCGAGTGGCAGCTCCCCCTGCCACGCAGAGATTTTACCCCCTCTCAAAATGTCGGGGAAAAAAGAAAACATAAATCAGGAACCAGAAATGCCAGGAAAAGACGGAGAGGGAGGCAAGGAGAGTGGTTGTATCCCAGTCGATCAAGACGTTCTTAAAGACCGGTTATATATTGTTATTTCGCTGGGAATTAGAAAACTTCCATCTAAAGTCTGCCGTGGCGTGTACAGTCATTTTTTATTATCGGTGTGCGCCACAATCGACCGAATGATTACGTGGTCTAAATTCCTGTCTTTTTACACTATTGTAAATAGAGTTTTAAAAAAATTACACGAGTCACGACGCATTGCATTATGCATCTGACCTGCCGGCTGATGATATTTAAAACATCGAGAAAACACGAATACAACACACTGCACTTGGATGAATAAATGTATTCGCTTTATTTAATAATAAGACAATGAATGGTTTTATTTTTTTAATTAGACTGCATTCTTGTCAATTTCTAAATGTTTACTTTTTGATTTATGAATTATAACAGACTGATTGGGAAACAATTTATTACTTTTTAAAAAATTGGTTTTATTATTATTTAACAATTTCTTGCTTTTTGTTAGTTTTTATTAGTTGTAATTTTTAAATAAACATTTAACTTTTAAAATAAAGGTTTTACAACAACATCACCATCTTCTGTTATGTGGGCCTCCATGTTCATCTATTGTACAGTATATGATATTGGTGGAGGGTGGTGGGGGCCCACATCAATATTTTTTCAGGGGGCCCCGAATCCTCTAGCTACGGCCCTGGTCATTGGTGTTAGGCAGTACCTTTTGAGCTCTACATTTTATATGCATCTGTTTTAGGGACATATTTCTATTAAAAAAAATTACTATAACAGTAATGGGCCATGCAAAGTAAGTTTTTATTTTTTATTATTGTTTGTTTGCTTTCTTCAAGCATACCCATATATACTTTCTAATACTTTATTTTAAAAAAAAAAATCATTTTAGAGACAAATCACCTTTGACAAGGCTAAATGTAAATACTTTGAGATAACTATGACAAGTAGTGCAATTATAAACCAGTCGGACTTTTATTTTGAAGGGTGAAGAGAATCTGTATGTTTATATTTTCTTCACGATTTCTGGTTTCATTTTTTTCCGAGCCTGTTTTCTGTTACATTTAGTAAAGCCTGTCACACTTATACAATGAAAACTGTATTTGTAACTGTCGGGACAACAAGTTTTGATGATCTTATTGGCACTGTGACTTCAGATGAATCTGTAAAGGTAATAATACCATTCATAAATAGTGAGCTGCATGACGGAAACCGTAAACTGAATGACACAAATGAGTTTCGGTAACAGTTACCTGTGCGTCAGTTTTATTTGCAATAATCCGTGATAAAAAAACACGTATGTCCTGTTTATGTTTCTGAATGAAGGCATTCATTCACCGTGGCTACACAGACATGGTGCTTCAGGTTGGCAGAGGTTCAGTTGTGCCTGATCCAGACAGCTGTCCTGGACTGACACTACAAGTGTTTCGCTTCAAAGACTCAATCGCTGAGGACATGAGACACTCAGACCTGGTCATCAGTCATGCTGGTGGGTTAAAGCTCCCTGTGCCCCAAACACGACTCTAAAATACAGTTTAGTTAAAACATAAATGAGGTTTATTCTTTTTGGGGCAAGCAAATTAAGGAAACACTTTATACCAACCATCAGATCAGTAACATCATCAAGATCAGAATTCCATGAGACAAACTGTAAAAATAAATAATAACGAAGAATAAGATTAAACTAAATCAAACATTGATTATAGTAAATTAAGAATTGAATTAAAATAAAAAAATGAATGGATTAATTATAATATACATTTTTCATTTACGTCTTTATACTTGAAAATGTATAGATGCTTTTAAATTTTGTGGGTGGGGGTCCCTCGCACAAGGATGAACATATTTAGGGGTCCATGGCATCTTAAAGATTACAAACCCCTCATCTAATGTAATATAATTAGTTGTGGACTTCATAATTACCTAAATAACAAAAAGTTATACCCCAGATTAGAAATGAGTTTATATCGGCTCTATCCCCATTAGGAGCAGGAAGCTGTTTGGAAGCACTCGGAGCAAATAAACCTCTCCTCGTTGTGGTCAATGATAAATTAATGGACAATCATCAGCTGGAGCTCGCAAAGCAGCTGCAGGCAGAGTCACATCTTATCTACTGCACTTGCAGGTTTGTTTTATATGAGAAGTCGCTCACTTTTTCAACCATTTTAGTGGTTAATATTAATATTGTTATGGTTACATTTGATGTGCTGACGCAAATGTCAATGTTCGTGTTTTTTTAACCCATTATCACAGTACCCTGCCTCAGACCTTGAGGGATATGGATCTGTCTGCTTTGTCAACCTATGTGCCTGGTCAACCTCAGAACTTTGCCAACTTTTTAGATAAAGCCGTCGGACTTGTTTAAGCACCGTCTCTTGAGCTGTGCCAATTACCCATGCCAATTTGGGCTGAGGATGAACCTGTTTTAACGGAAATACCTGCACTGGACCCTCGGGAGTCTAATGGTTGAGAAGAACTGTTTTTTACCAAACTAATAACTGACCTTTGATGATATATGCACTGAAGGGTTGAATAATAATAGTACAGACACCATAGTGGTGAGAGTCAAATGCAGCTGTATTAAAATGTTCGGTCTTTTTTGGCTAGTTATTTGTGTTAAAATATAAAAAAGTAAATTGTTAAAACTGAAAAAGATGTTATTTGGATTAATAAAACATTATTATTATTATTATAAAATTTCAGATCACTGTAATTACTAATAAAATATTGAATACATTTTATTATATCTATTTTTTCCCCTCATGACTTCTATTGTCTATCAAGATATTATACTTGAAGAACCGGAAGCTGTCAAGGAAACCTGCTGTAATGAACATCCTGTGTAGTATCAGACCGTACTCATTTGTTGCTCTGACGCTTAGAGGAGAGCATGACTTACATTCACACATCAAGACTATATTTTGGGCTTCTGTTCTTAATTTTGTCCTTTCAACGATGCTGTTCAGCAGCTGCTCTGAGTAAGTATATAATTACACACAACATTGTACTGCACAGCGTTTTTGTGGTTAATGGCATTACAAAGGTACACAAACCTTTATGAGTTATTATCACAAGTTTGGGAATGTAAACTTCACTGAAATATACTGTTTGTAAAAAAGGGTTCTGATTGTTCGTTTGCTTTTAGTTTTTGTCTTCTAAAAGACAAAAAGTTTGAGAGCTATGTTTGGGTGGTTTCAGTGGGGATTTCCACGGTTTTTCTTTTGGATGTCATTTTTGTGTGTATGATTATGATGATGCTCTTGAGGTTTGTGATTCTGAGACTGATTAGCATTCTCTCTGTGTGGGTTACTGGAAACGGTTCGACAATAAAGAGTTCAAGACCAAAAAAAAGTAATAAATTTTTTTTTATTTGTGAATTGTTACATGGATATTTTTGGTAACATGTTGGCCCATGTAGGTGTGCAGTGTAAGATCATCAACCTCGAGTATGTGGAGTGCATCTGGCACCCAAACACATCAACAGCAAACTACACCTTCAGCAGTGGGTAAGTCTCCCACAACCCATCTTACTCATATTCATGAATACATCTATGTACACTACCGTTCAAAAGTTTGGGGTCAGTGAGAATTTTATTTTTATTTTTTGGAGGAAAGAAATCAATACTTTTATTTATCAAGGACAGTAAAGACATTTATAATGTTACAAAAGATTCTATTTCAAACAAATGCTGTTCTTTTGAACTTCCTATTCATCAAAGAATCCTAAAAAAAAAAAAAAAACTGTACAACTGACAGACCAACAACTGTTTCAACATTGATAATAATAATAAATGTTTCTTGAGCATCAAATCCTCATATTATACTGATTTGTGAAGGATCATTTGACACTGAAGACACTGACACTGGTGATGCTGAAAATTCAGCTTTGATCACATCAAATAAATTACACTTTACTATATATTCGCACAGAAAACAGCTGATTTACACTGGAATAATATTAATACTATAACTGATTTTTGTTGTATTTTTAATCAAATAAGCGCAGCCATGGTTAGCAGAAGAGAATTCTTTTAAAAGTATTTAAAATCGTACCGACCCCAAACTTTTGAATGGTGTAAATACATTATTGTGACATGCTGTATGTTGAATATTGTTTTGTGGTAATAATTGATAAGTGAGAAATAATATTCGATTTTATATTTACTTTGTCAGATTTATAAATGACGCCTCCCATGACTGTACAGAATACGTCTTGGAGCACAATTACACTATAGGCTGCAGAATTCTTCTCAAAAGACCCGAGCAGAGGTTTACAACATTTAAAACAACTGTATTCACTGAAGGAAACCACACTATTATAACACATTTTGATTCCCTCCAGAGAAATGGTAAGAAAACAAAAAGATTTGCAATGTATTAATGGTGTGTCAAAAAATACATGTGAATCTAGACTACCGTTCAAAAGTGACAGTAAAGACATTTATAATGTTATAAAAGATTTCTAAGTGGTGTTCTTTTGAAATTTCAAAGAAGCCTGAAAAAATTGTATCAGTTTCTATAAATATTAAGCAGCACAACATTTCTCCACATTGATAATAATACGAAATGTTTGTTGAGCAGCAAACCAGCATTTTAGAATGATTTATGAAGGATCATGTGAAAATTCACCTTTGCATCACAGGAATAAATGGCCTTTTTGAAATATGTTAAAATAGAAAACAGTTATTTTAAATTATAATAATATTTCATAAAAAAAAAATTACTATTAAAACAACTTTGGTGAGCATAAGCGACTTCTTTCGAAGACAAAAAAAACCCGTACCAACCCCAAACTTTTGAACGGTAGTGTATATTATTAATATACATCATTTCTTCACCCTCTAGTAATCTGAAAATCTTTTTATTTCTCCCTGTATTTCTTGCTTCTGACTGGGCAATCATAGCATTCTTTTGCCAAATATTTTTTCCATCATGACTGACCAACAATCTTTAGGCTTTTGTGCCAGGGAACATATTTCAGCTGTGCTAGTTACTATATCTCTCATATCACTCCACAGTCTCTTTCTTCATATAATTTCAATAATTCAATTTCAACTCAAATCAATATTTCAATTCCACTTTTTATTTATTTGGTTATTATCCATGAATATATATATAGATCCTCATAAAGGATTTATTTTGTTATAATGACTCTATCCCTTTATGTATTATATTAGTCTATTGTAAATTTTCTGACATAACTGATTCCCTCCAAACTAACGACTCACTTGTTTGTTATTGCACATATATTTGTTTAGTGCTGCTAAATCCACCCTATAACCTGTCAGTGATGTGGAATGAGCACAACAGCACACTTTTACTACAGTGGGACAGCAGTGCCCCCCTCTCAAAAAAGTGTGTAGTCTATATGGTGCGCATTCTAAGCAACCAGAAAGACGCAAACCAGGTGAGACGATACGATATTATGACCATTTTACATTCATTCTACCAACTGTCTCATCTTCATCTCTCTTTTTCTCCTAGTTGTCAAACGTGATAGAAAAGTCATACAGTCTCTCTCAGGTCTCACAGAACAAGCACTATGTTTTCCAAGTCCGGAGCTCTGTTGCTGAAGACTGTAGTCCTTCAGATTTCTGGAGTGACTGGAGCGCTCCGGTGGAGTGGGGCAGTGCAGGTGGGCCAGCGAGGGATTGATTTGCTCTCATTTGCCGTCTTATATTTTCCAATCATGCTTCTCTGTTTTCTAGAGAACATCAGCAAACAAGGCTGGTGGCAGTGGTTGTATGGTATTCTGTCAGTCTTTCTGCTGTTGTTGCTGGGTTTGTTGTTGTGCTATTGTGAGAGGTGAGGGATGTTTAAGACATTTCACTCAGTGTCTATCTATCTAAAATATTAATCTATCTTATGATTTTTTAACAATTTATACTAATACTTTATATCCTATTTATATATTAGTAAATGTAAGTGAAGTTTTTTTTTATTGTGTTAAAAAATATAATGTAATTAAAAAAAAAAATGTATCCATATTATATAGGAAAAGAATCATCTTACTTCCAGTTGTGCCTGACCCTAGCAAGAACCTACAGGATTTGTTCCATAAACATGATGGAAATGTTGAGGTATTCAACCTTGTGCTGTGCTGTATTTCTGTGAGTAAATCATGAGTAAATGTGCTTTGAAACCCTCTCAATTTCTTCTCAGAGCTGGGTTCACATCTCCAGAGAGCTGAAGGAAGCTTTTGAGCCAGACTACACAGAGCTGTCCTGCGATGTGTGTGAGGTAACGTCCCCTTGTGACGCCGGTCCCACACCTGTGGCCAGTCCCGCTTCTCAAACTGACAAGTGTGATGAACCGAGCACTGAAGAAGAGCCTGCAGAATAGCAGAGCTCATACGCCATTCACCTGTACTGTCATCCAATCCAACTTTATTTGTTAAGCACTTTTAAACAACCAAAGTTCACCAAAGTGCTGTACAGAATAAATATAATCACATAAGGCACACAATTACATACAACAAAAATAAAATGAAACGACATAAACATACACATACACATAAACATGAGTACAAACATTAGCCACGCAATAAAGGCAATCAAAATCAGGAAAAAATGGTAAATAAAATAGACATCTTGCTAGGTGTCAAAGGCCACAGAGAAAAGATGGGTTTTAAGTCGGGTTTTAAAAACAGACAAAGAAGAGGTCTTCTCATTCTTACTGTATACATGTTCACAAGCTACATTTTAATGTCCGTTTTCTTTTGCACATTTACTTTTTACCATTGTATCTCATTTTATGTAGAGTTAATATTGTGAAGTATTATTACAATTTAAAATAACTGTTCTCTATTTTAATTTATTTTCAAATAAAATGTATTCTTGTGATGGCAAAGCTGAATTCTTAGCATCATTCTTCCAGTTTTCAGTGTCACATGATCCTTCAGAAATCATGCTGATTTAGTGTTAAAAACTATTGTGCTGCTTAATATTTTTGTGAAAACTGATACTTTTTTTTTGGGTGAATAAAATAGTTTAAAAAACAACACTTATTTGAAATAGGGTATTTTTAGGTTTTTCATTCTAAAACTATATGTATTGTTTCAAGTTAAGACTACAGGTATTTGTACACTTTCTAACGGTGAACTTGAAGCAAACCGACTTCATAAATCCACTAAGAATTGGGACCAGTTACCTAAAAATCATCGCAAAAATGGCAGAGAAAAGTTAAGTTAGTTCTGAGAAAAGCAGTTACAAAAAGATATTACTAAATCCATTCAAATCTACTTATGTGATAGCTTTTATTGGTTGGGTATGCATATAATATTTAATAAAAGTGCCTTTTAAGTTTGGTAACATGTTGAACAGATATGTAATAAAAACTTTTGATTATTCATATTATGCTATTGTTGTTTTTCCTTGCCCTAGTTTGAATGTTTTCCCTAATCTTACTCTGATTCCATGTCATTGTGACATCACAGTCTTGATGATTATGTTACTCTCTGTCTGCTGCTGTGTCACTAATTTGTTAGCACAGCTAAGTTACAGCAGGCAGCATCTTTAAAACTGAACAGTAGACTGAGGTTCCAAGTTATTTTCTGCCACAATGTTTATTTACATTAAACATGGAGGTAAGGATCACAATTATTAATCAACTTGTTTAAATATCAATGCAATAAATGCATTGATGTTTGTTTTAGATCTATATATTGCTTAGTAACTTACAAAATTTGATTTCTATCTACACAAATTGTTTTATTTCTCTATTTGGTCGGTTTATGTAATTGTCAAAGAGCTGATCAATGTGATGTTTGTGTATTTAGATAATGACCAGTTCCTGGTCAACACCAATTGTACAGTTGCTGTCCTCATGCAATACATGAAAACTAGGTTGCGACTTGCTGAGTCAGGTATGTACAGCTCTCTCCATGCTTTCTCTCGTACATCAAGAATATGTGGATAATCAAAATGCATAATCGGTCAAACTATATGTACTTTTTTCCCAGTTTCAGGCACTTTCATTGAACAGAATCGTACAAAATCTGAAGATACTTTCAGTCATTCCAGAGCTGTGCTTTTGTTGTGAATATTCCACGTCAAAGAAATGCCTTTTCCCCCCTAAGAGTATCTGAGAGTAGGTTAAACTGGCTGTACTTGACATACTCTAGAGATCTCAGGTCAGAGGAGGTTAGCTGAGCCCAGCGTGCTCTTTCAAACTCGGCGTGACCTCTGTGCAGGAGGTCACGGATCTCAGGCGTTAATATTTCACACTCTCTCTTAGCACATACTCCTACAACGGTGTCCGATTACATCTGTGGCATGTAGTAAGGGACATTACCCCGGATCAGCCCATCACTAATGGAGTGCTCATTACCACTGTCATTAACACTGTCCTCCTCCCTAACGCGTCTCTGCGCTTCTGTGCGAGCTAAAATGTTGTATAGAGACCGTAAACACGTATTATATGACAGTTATTACACGTGTTTGAAACAATATACCTTAAGAGACTGTGTGTGTGTGTGTGTGTGTGTGTGTGTGTGTGTGTGTGTTTCAGAGCTCATAGACCTGTGTGATGAACGAGGAGGGCTGAAATTCCTCTTTATGCCCCAGAATTCACAGGATACTGCTTGTGGACTGCTAAAGGCTAGAGAGTCATTCTTCGCTTGCATTATTAAGCGTGAGTTTGAGTTTTTCGCATGATATTTATTGATAACCTGAAGATAATAGTTTGTGTATTTTTAAAGTAACAGTCAGGGTGTGTGTGTCTGTGTGTATTTACAGGTACGTCTGATGGGGCTTATACTTCTGTCACATCTCTACTATCCAGTGTTCACTATGCTCTGATAGGTGCTATTGCATTTTGTACACTGCAAAAATATTTTTTTTTAATCAGTTTTATAATATATATCTAAACATTATTTAGCTAAGAAGAATTTTTTTGAAAGATAACTAATATCCTACATTGTTTTCAGAGAATATAGATTAAATTAACTTGCGTTAATACTAACATGTTGAATATGTAGTGAATTCATGTTTAGACAAAACAACTTTTTTTCTGTATATCAGTCTATAAGTTACAATTTTATTATTATTTGAGCTATTTTATGTAGCAGTTGCACTGTATTTTATATTGCTGGTACACTGTTGTTTGTTAATGTGTAGCCTATGTAATGACTATGACTTCCAGAGACTCTGCAGACTCAGATTGACAATCTTGAGAAAACTCGCCTGAAGCAGCTTCATGTTGTGGAGGCTCTTATGGCTACATCAATGGGAATCAATGCTCAAGCACTGCTTAAAATCGTGAGTATCTTAGAGCCACATCTGAACTTCACCGTTCTCTCGTATTTGTTCACCTGCTGTCACCTCGATTTTGTATTATTCAGCTTTAAATTCCGTATTCAGCTGCACTGTTTAAAAAAATATTGTTAGGCTACATTTACTGTATGTGGCCAGATATTCACTGCAAGACATACTCAGACACAACTGGTAATATAACTTTATGTGAACAATAATCGAATCTTGTGTGTTGTTTTCATGTGGCTGTGCAGACTAAAAAGCGCAAGAAAGTTACGCATGTAAATGCCGCTGATGAAGTCCAGCGCCACACAGGGGACAGGAAGAGCAGGAACTGAGAAAACGCCATCACATCAGTCTTCATGCTCTTTCTTAATGTTGAGTCCCAGTTTAATTCATTCAAATTACAGACGTGTTCATCAGAAATGCTGTATTACTTTTTATCATTAGGAGATTCAAACTTACTACAATGACTATATAAAACTCAGGTACATCCTTCTGCTGGAAGATGAAAGGGAAGGAATTTCCTTAAAACAATGTTTCAATGAAAATCTATCTATATACACTCAAAAAAATGCTGGGTTATTTCAACCCAAATTTGGATCAAATATTGACAAACCCAGTAATTGGGTTAACATTTTAAATGACATTTTTAACACAAAGTTTGGGTTTGTCCATATTTTACCTAAAATTGGGTTAAAACAACCCAGCATTTATTAGAGTGTATATATATATATATATATATATATATATATATATATATATATATATATATATATATACCGTATCTGTCTGTCTGTCCTTATTTCTCTGTTTTCTTTTTTTTTAAATGTTGGAATTTTCCACTGGTCCCTTGCAATTAAGCAACAGATGAGGTCATCGTCTTGCTTGTGATTGGTTAGTATGAATACCTGTTTGTTACCAAGCTTTTCCCAGCTGGGTACAAATTGAGAGAGAATCTTTATAGGTTGGTGTGTGTAGTTACTGCACAAACTTTAATGCGTGGATCTATATTTGGTAAGTAATCAACCTGTCTGAATGCTGACGGAGTGGGTGTAAACTGTATTTTTGCAATAAGTTTTATGCCAAAGGCATTATGATATCTTGAAATATAATTCAAGATCAGTATCTTGTATGTCTCTCTCATCCATGCAGCTGCAGACTTTCAGCAAAACTTACGTAGGCCCTGCAGGTGCAAGGAACTTTATGATGTGTTACTCAGCACATAGATTTTTCCTTTTCAGCATTTCACCAGAGCACAATGTGGGCGGAATGCAGCCATTAGACAGGAACGAGTGGGTGAAATGCCAGTTAGTGGTTTTACCGTCTATGGCCATCATAATCTTTTGTGACATCCTTCCCTGATGTTGTACCACACACATACCTCCTGGCTGTTTTTTCTTTTTCTTTTTCTTTAAAGCCCTGGTTGTCAAATGTCAGTTATTCTGGAAGGTGCATAGAAAGAATAGTGATAATGTGTGATGAGATTGAATGTGATTGACAATACTGAACTGAAACTGCCTTACTACAAACTGAAGGTTGCAGCTGTCTTGCCTGTCTGTGCTCAATACGTAATGCCTCACTTCCCCTTGTGTGAACAACCATGTTGTTTCATAGGACTTCTTTTGTACATTTTAAGTTCTCATAATTAGATATCAGCCAGCATTCCTGCTCGTGTGTGTGTGTGTGTGTGTGTAAATAGTTTTTATGAGATGTTTGTGGAGGAGGCTGGTATAAAAGGGAAGTACCATTTCCAAGTTCAATCCAATGTTCTAATTGTATTTACTGTAGCTCTCTTGAAATCCAAAGTCTCTTCAGAGATAAGTATATTGTAATGTCAGAGTCACAGAAAACTACTAAAATATTTTTTATAAATGTTAAAGAGAGCAATGAGCTCAACTTTTCAAAGTAAAGTTGTATAAATTGCCCCCTTGTGGCTGTACTTCGAAGAAAGTCATAAAATGACTAGCAGTGAAAATAAAAGCATCCTAATATATTAAAACATGCCATTTTAGATGTTTAACTTATTTTTACATTTTTCTTTATTTACCAGAATCTTTAGAAAGAACTTTATTTGGTTATTCGTTGCATAGTTTTTGCGTATGCCTTATTTTCAATGTTTCTTATTTGTAATTCAGAATCTTCTCCCTGGGGTATATTTATATATAAAATATATATTTAAAAAAAACTGTTTTCATGTTAATTAATTGTAAAATATATTTGTAAATATTGTTTTATATTGCTTCCTGCATCAAGTTGTGCCATTGTGAGTTTCTGTCTTTTCAAAAATCTGCTATTCACTGTTAACACAGGAACACAAGTCCCTTCTCCTTGTGGGACAGAGGATCTTGTTTTTTTAAGAATTCGCTGCACTCTGGGTCACCCTCAGTACTTATGATGCAGTAACTGGCACTTTTGAGGGAATCAGAAGAGTGAGGCAGCTGAATCGACTGGTTGTTCTGCTTGAGATAGAGTAAAAGAGGCTTGTATTAGTTTACAGTGCACCATTTAGGAGAATGTACTTTGATTAACAAAACAAAATGTGATTTGTGCAGTGTGCTTTAACACAGACACAGCAAAGAAGTAATGCATTTGATATTACACAAATGTTTTACTGCTCTTCAGACATGTGGCCCTACATTTTTAAGAGATTTCATAAATTCTATTTATTACCATGTCAATTCTATCCTATTTACAATATAGACACATTCTTGAGTAAACAGTGGATGTCAGCAAACTCTCAATTACAACATCAGAAAACGTATATCACATTCTGTCCCATTTGTTACATTTTGCTCAGACAATCAAACAGTGATAACAACTAAAATATTTGTTATTTCACCCTTCCACCCCCCTTAAGACAAACATGGTAAAAAAAATATTTTATTGCAAGATTGCAATGCTCATTTTACAAACATCAATAAAAAAGAATGAGATGACATTTTCAGTGTCTGCCTGGGGTCAGGTCTGATGCACTTCCATTGTAGGATCTAATCTGCAGGTATCACATGTATCCAAAGTAAAAATAAATCATCTTAGTTTAACAGCATAAATTTGACTGTATTCCAATAAGACCTTTACCAAAACAAGAGCCTATTCATATGTCGTAGGAGAGATGATGGATTGAGTCCAGACAATGAGAGCCCGAAGGCTTTTGTTAAGATCACCCTGACTTGAGGGGAACGGAACTAAAGGACATCACATGTTGAATAAGCACTTTTGTCATATTTGTTATGGAGCCACTCTGTAATAAAGGCATATGAATCAGATGACTCACCTTCTCTTATACAGCCTCCACTATATATCATATAATAGTGTTTTGCCCTAAATGATCTCTAAATTAAATGTGACAGAGTGTATTAAAATGGTCACACCCATAGAAGTTTGTCCTAGACCTCATGAGTTGAGTGATGGGACTGCTGTATTCACCAAAGTTGTACAGTCTCCTTGTGTATTATGGTCCAATTTCCAGTCAAATATATCTGATTGAGCTTTTCCAAATGCATGACTAAGCATATTTCAGTTGTTACAAAGTAAAATAAATTTCTTAGTCACCATCAAAATCAAAACCAACAATTCTTGTTTTTATAGAATATCGCAGTAGCCTTTTATTATAAATGATTTATCCATTCACATAATTATTTATTTTTAAATACATGTGCCCTTAAATATATGCGCAAGTCTTTAATCAAAATAAATTCCCCTCCCTCTTGCAACACATTTTCTTCTTTGATGACGTGTTTACTGGCGCGAGGGCTGGACAATCTGTCACTCACATGAACCACAACGATCCAATGATCCAATCGATTCCAAATGGACAAATCAAATCCTGCTATAGCCTATTTTTTCTTGTTCGAGAAGCCGTTTCACTCGTACACATCACAGCAGGGAAGAGACTCAACTTCTATTTCATACCGACTTCAATGTTCTTATAAATATTAGCCTACCACAGATTGTAGAGCTTCAAATGATTTGAATTAAACACTTTCTCTTAAGCAGTAAGATTATGATGTTGTATGTTGACCATTTGAATGTTTATTACAGTTTTGATCCAGTGAAATTACGGCCAAATAATTCATTCAGTTATTCTCACAGTGCGATATTGTAATCAGTTGTCAGGCTGCATTGCGTCATGAAAGTAGGCGGGCTTACGTGGTTAACAGACAGGTAGTTTTCCACCACATGAAAGCGCTCATTGGCTCGGATGTCGGACAAACACAGCCGTCACACATTAAAAAAAAAAAAAAAACAGTACTGAAAGTTGATTGGCCATCGCTCCACTCTTAGACCCACCTTCCCAACTGTCTGATTGGACAACATCACTGGACGTGTCTGTCAACTGTTTTATTATATTCACCCATTGATACTGCAGCTGTATGTCCGGACATGTAGGTCTCATAGCGGCTTGGCCTTTGTTAGCGAGTCGGTGAGAAGAACCAAAGAAAGCCCGAGGAGCCGCATTCATGCACTTACAGGGAGGAAAATGATCATCTGCACGAAAATCATGGATTATCGCCTTGGAACCCAGTATCAGTTTGTTCAAAATCAGGTAACATATATCACTGAAGTGAACATATTAACTGTAAACCTTAACCGTATCTAGACTCTTGCTGGGAAGTTTCAAAGTTGACAGTTCATCTACTTAGCAAGTTATATCGTTCATTCATTCATGTCCAAAACGCTCCTCAATCGCATACTTATGCCAAAATTTTAAATAGCCTAACGTTACATATTCAAAAGTCCCTATTTGAAAGAAAAGACTAATCGCCATAAATATTATCCGTTATTTTTAAGCGTAACTTACATGAATGTCATGATTCACATTATGTGCAAGTATCGAGATTTCTTTCATCTGTCGGTTTTGTTCTTCTGATCGCTAAGTTACTTTTCAACCAGTAACTATTCACTTCGAGATTTAAACGCTTATTCATTGTGTTATTTATTAATTGTTCCTGAAATAAAGTTTATTTATGACAAGACCAAAGTGCTTATCTGTGCTTAAGCTGCAGTTTTACAGTTAATCTGACTTTGAGGACGTTTGTGCTGCCTTTCATCTGTAACTCAAGTCTGCTCGTATAACAATACTGATCCTCTGACATTATTTTGTCGCCTATTTAGCTTTTTATGTAATTAAAAGAGGCTGTGCAAGTCCATTGCATTTAAGGCAAAGAGTAAGATCAGCTTTATAAGCCCCTTTTATCGCGCATATGCTCAGTTCAGATGGCCATTGTTTCATATTGCAACTATTTGGACTACCCGTAAAAGTGTGCAATGTGCATTTGAAATACCTGACGTTTTGCTGTTAATGCTGGAGATATTTACTCCATACTACATTTAAGCTTCTTGGGGAATTAAGACTGCAGTCTGGAACAATCTTGGGAGCCTTTGGTGCAGATTAAGTAATGGTTATGGATTTCAAGAAATGATGTAAACCTACATGACAATAAGCTTTTATGCTGGCATGTTGAAGTTTTGTGGGTTTGACGCTCTCCGTCATGTCTGAGCCATTTGTTGAGTCATTTAAAAGGTGAATCTCATACATGAAGACAATCGATTTACTATTTTTCTCCTTTTTCTTTTTTGTCCTCTAGTATTGAGTTGTAATTTTTAACTGCATGCTTTATCATCCTGCAAAGCGTGTGTATAAGCATTTGTGAAAATGAAAATCTGTAATTTGTCTGTAGCGCTGCCGTAGTGTTTCTACGTTCGCAGTTCATGTCGCGCGGACACAAAGCCCTTTGTAGCTACGCAATCATAAAAGACGTGACACGACAATCTGCACGACTCTGGAAGATGTAACATTTATTACCATTTCTTCATGCTTGAGTTTTTGCTTTTTGGGAAGTGCGAGTGTTTTCTCTTTCTCCATTTACGCGATGTGATGCTGATGTACTGCCAATCAAAGTTGTTTTTCTCCTCAATCGCTTGCAGTACCCTCTGAAACCTGAGGGTGCCGCTGTTGTGACTGCGCTGCTCCGCATACAAGAACAATAGATGAATGTGCCATTTAATAATTTCTCAGAAATATGCTCTTCATTTGCCAGCCCATAAAAATCCCCCTAGCTTGTACTTGGATTGTTAACATCATAAACTCGTTCCCTTTTCCCTTCAACCAACCACTAGTCCTCTTGTAAGAGACACAATTCAGGAAAAATATCTGAGAAGTCTTATAATGGCACAGTATGTGTTTCAAATCTCCCCTTATGTTTTTCCACATAAAGAGCATCTTTAAAATATATATTTATATATCTATTATGACTTTGTCAGAACATTATGGTAAAATTAGTTGAAAAACATTGTAATGCAATAGTAATATGTTATGCAGCTTACGTAGAAGGAGGAAGGGGATAAAATATAGGCTATATAAGAGGAATAACTGACAACATGATTCACTTCTGGATATGAGGAACACAACGCTGGCAAAATAACGTTATTAAGCGATTTCATTAGCAGACCAAAGCTTGGACTTTCCAAACAGAAATGTGATTCATCAATAATCGGCCTTCGCTTCACTGACAGTCATATGCAAGCTGCTGAATATATGTCACCGTCTGCTTATGTAAATGTCAGTCTTCCTGGTTGTCTGACTGCATCCATATGTGGCTTGCCATGTTTGTCTGTTTGTGTGTTACTGTGTGTGTGTGTTTGCTGCAGGGCTTGTTTCAGTCCAACCCCCAGTGAGGTGCAGCTGGCTGTTTTGTTCTTCCTGGCTTCCAGGTTGGCAGGCCAAAATAGTGTTTCCTTTGTAGAGAGGCAGCAGAGCAATGGGGTTTGTGCAACTGCAGTTGGGACATTTGCGGATGTCAAGGATGGAGCCCTCCAGGCCTTCTGAGAATGCAGATTAAATATCGCATCTTGCTCTTATTCTGGACTCAGGCCCTGAACTGATTCCCCCCCGCCATTTAGAGCCTCATGTTTAGACCGTACTCAAATGACAAAAGACGAGCAGTAGGCTTATATTTGTCTGTTTTCACTATGTCTGCTGTCTTGGTTATTTTGGTTTAGTGAATGACAATATGTTGCACAATTAAAGCGATAATTCACCCAAATATTCTGTCATCATTTACCCACCCTCATGCCGTTCCAAACCTGTTTAACTTTTTCTAATGTGGAACATGAAAGAAGATCTTTTGAAGTATGTTTGTAACCAAACAGTTTTGGTGACCATAGTTTGCAAAAAATAAAAGCAATTTCTCAAAATACACTCACCGGCCACTTTATTAGGTACACCTGTCCAACTGCTCGTTAACACTTAATTTCTAAGCAGCCAATCACATGGCGGCAACTCAGTGCATGTAGGCATGTAGACATGGTCTAAACCAGTGTTTCTCAACCTCTCCTGCAGGGACCCCCTGACAGGCCATGTTTTTGTTTTAACTCTGAAATGGCACACCTGATTCAAGTAATTAAAGGCTTAATGAGTAATTAGAGTAGGAATAGTTCAATTAATCAATTAGTCAACTACTCATTAAGCCTTTAATGACTTGAATCAGGTGTGCCATTTCAGGGTTAAAACAGAAACATGGCCTGTCAAGGGGGTCCCTGCAGGAGAGGTTGAGAAACACTGGTCTAAACAATCTCCTGCAGTTCAAACCGAGCATCAGTATGGGGAAGAAAGGTGATTTGAGTGACTTTGAACGTGGCATGATTGTTGGTGCCAGAAGGGCTGGTCTGAGTATTTCAGAAACTGCTAATCTACTGGGATTTTCACGCACAACCATCTCTAGGGTTTACAGAGAATGGTCCGAAAAAGAAAAAACATCCAGTGAGCGGCAGTTCTGTGGGCGGAAATGCCTTGTTGATGCCAGAGGTCAGAGGAGAATGGCCAGACTGGTTCGAGCTGATAGAAGGGCAACAGTGACTGAAATAACCACTCGTTACAACCGAGGTATGCAGCAAAGCATTTGTGAAGCCACAACACGCACAACCTTGAGGCGGATGGGCTACAACAGCAGAAGACTCCACCGGGTACCACTCATCTCCACTACAAATAGGAAAAAGAGGCTACAATTTGCAAGAGCTCACCAAAATTGAACAGTTGAAGACTGGAAAAATGTTGCCTGGTCTGATGAGTCTCGATTTCTGTTGAGACATTCAGATGTTAGAGTCAGAATTTGGCATAAACAGAATGAGAACATGGAACCATCATGCCTTGTTACCACTGTGCAGGCTGGTGGTGGTGGTGTAATGGTGTGGGGGATGTTTTCCTGGCACACTTTAGGCCCCTTAGTGCCAATTGGGCATCGTTTAAATGCCACGGCCTACCTGAGCATTGTTTCTGACCATGTCCATCCCTTTATGGCCACCATGTACCCATCCTCTGATGGCTACTTCCACCATGTCACAAAGCTCTAATCATTTCAAATTGGTTTCTTGAACATGACAATGAGTTCACTGTACTAAAATGGCCTCCACAGTCACCAGATCTCAACCCAATAGAGCATCTTTGGGATGTGGTGGAACGGGAGATTCGCATCATGGATGTGCAGCCGACAAATCTGCGGCAACTGTGTGATGCCATCATGTCAATATGGACCAAACTCCCTGAGGAATGCTTCCAGCACCTTGTTGAATCTATGCCACGAAGAATTGAGGCAGTTCTGAAGGCAAAAGGGGGTCCAACCCGTTACTAGCATGGGGTACCTAATAAAGTGGCCGGTGAGTGTATATTTTATGTTCCACAGAAGAAAAAGCCATAGGCCTACAGCTTTGGAACAGTGAGTTAACAATTTCATCCTGGTACATTTTCATTTTTAAGTGGACTTTCCCTTTAAGCTCTCTATTCCCCTATTTTTTTTTTTTTTTTTTTTTTTTTGGTGGTATTTTGACCTTTTGACCAGCTAGAATAAACACATGAACACATTCAAATCTCAATGCAAGGGTACATGCAAATGTATTCAAATCTAAACGCTGTTTTGTTTGTTCATGGAGTGATCATGCACTCTTTTTTTTTTATCTGTAATACATAGATCCTGCTTTCCTTTGCACATGAACTTGTTTTTATCTAACAAATAATTGATTTATTATGTAAAGACCATACATGGCATCATTATTTTCACAGAAACAGGAATTATGATGGCTGAAAGTGGCACCTTTTTTTACCCAATAAAGAAGATTTCAGATAAATTTGAGGGACTCACCAAGAGGATATGAGACTGACTTCCTGTTTCGTGTTGACTGTAAAGACATGTCGGTGCATGTTACTGGTGCTAATGAGGCATCCTGTATTGACAAAAATCACCCCGAGTTTCAAAATAACCTTACACGGTTGACCATGAACTGGCAAGGTGTTATTTATGAACTGTATACTTTAAATATCAAGTTTAACCTTTAACTTTTGGTATAAAAAAGTCTTCAGTTGACCGCATCTGCTGCAGCGTTTCGTTGAGCCGCATCTGTGTGGGTGTGTGAGCGTCCCTCAGACTCTCATCTGACTTGCATTAGTCTCTAATTTCCCTCTGAAGTTTCATTAGTAGTTAATTGCAAATTGTTTTGTCTCGTTCCAGGTATACAGACTCCCCTTGTGATTTTGTGCAGCTGCCGATACAG